CAATACTTGTTGGTTGATTAGGAATATGCAGCCATTAATTTGGGCTTTTCAACCCTTTTTTGTTTCCTTTGCTCAAATTCTATGCATCCAAGTAGAGCTTAAAAACTGGCATGTTACTTCATTTAATGGCTCCCAGCATGCGTTAACCTTTTGTGCATGTTTCCATATTTAACATTATAAAGGTTTAGGAAATTAAGGCTTAGTTTGGGACGGCTTTCTTGCCGCTTCTTAAAGCAGCTTTTTAGTATAAAAATTTTATTTTTTTGTACTAAAAAGCTGTTTTAATAAGCAATAAGAAAGCCGTCCCAAACGAAGCCTAAAGCTGCTAGTCAGCTGCTGCAACTAATTGGTTTTGTATTATCAAGTGGTTAATATCTCCATTTTAGGATCACGCAGCTTTGGCATTGATATATATTTTTTTATTCTGTATATTTTTGTTTAAGAGGTTGTCAATCATGCCATTTTATGTACTGAAAACTTTCCTGATAGCACTATCAATCCCTATGTAGTTTAAGCAGCTTTACGCGTTAGGAATGTGGAGCTAAGGAAACTTGACGTTGACAACTTGATAATGATAAAATCTGATTGATGCTTTGATGCTAGTAATAAACTAGAAAATTCCACCGTGAGAAGGCATGGAAAAACTTATTTTAAAATTGAAAAAAAAAATGGTACATAGCTACTTGACACTTACCAATTAAATTATGGTGCAATAACATTAAGATAGTAAGGTTATTTATAAAAGCCTGTATAATATTGTGATTTTTTAAGTACATTTGTATTTCAAATAGGCATGAGAGGAAAATTTGATGGATGTAATTCGCTTAGATGAGTAAAAGAAAAAAAATCATAATAATCATAGTTTTCTTTCGTTGTGGCATTTTCAAAATTATAATATTAGATGATCAACTTTATAATTATGATTAATTACAATAATGCATAGCCTATTGCTCTTTGAAATTAGGCCTACCCATAGTTGATGTATTTATGATTCCCTAGCAAGGGAAGTTATCTCAATAACCTATGAATTATCAATATACTGAAATCTAGTCAAATTTATAAATGTTTAGTTTAGTCTTTTGACGGGTCTTCAATTGAATGCTATATGATTTCATTCTTAGAAACTAAATATTTTACTATGATATAATTATACCAGGCTGTTAAATTGAATAAAAATTAACTCATGATTAATTAATGGCTATTCATTTGGGCATCATTCCGGAACAATTAAACCAATACAAAATCCAGGGGTGTTAATATTTGACCCGACCCGAAAACCCGACCTGAAAATTCGGGTTTGGGTTGACCCGAACCAGTTCGGGTTCGTGTTGGGGTTTTCGACCCGTTTTGAAAATCGGGTGGGATTCGAGTTGACCCAGGAACCCAGAAATGACTCGGCTGCCCGCATGCATCTAGTTGCTTCCATGCATGACACACGTCACATCGCCTACCCGCCTTGTCGTGCCGTCTCGTCTGCCCGCCATCCTGCTGACGCAAGCCGCTGTCACGGTCACATCTGTCATGCGTCACTGCTGCCCGCTGTCGAACGTCGGCTGCCTGCGATGCTGATGCGACGTTGCATCCCTTGCCACTGCCGCTGCAGTTGCCGACTGCTTATGTCCCTTAAATGCGTGATTTATGCCACTGCCGAAGCGGGTCGGGTTCTCGTCCAGAAAATTGACCCGTATGCAAAAACGGGTCGGGTTCAGGTTGACCCGAATAATGCCGGGTCAGTTTGGGGTTCGACCCGAACCTGACCTGTAACTCGAAATTGACACCCCTACAAAATCCAAATTTATAAGTAGAAATTTTTTTGTCATTTCATAGAAACATTCGTAGATTTTTTTTTCTGCATTATAATGATATGGTACATATTACAAATGTTACTATCCTAATGTCTTAATTATACCCAAATTTTCTGTACATAAGAAAATAAAATTTTGCATCAATATTTAAATTGAATCCTATTTGCTAAACTTGAATATGTCATGTGTTTAAGTTCCTCTGGACTGTTTTTTGAAATAGACATTGTAACACCCCATAGTACTCCTATTAGTACTATCAGATATTACAAGTAGAACTTTCAAATATACATTAAAGGTTTACTAATAGATCATATACTGAATACATGGAAGCATCTCAATTACAAATTTCTTCAAAGATCAACTTACAGAGCCACTACAACAATCCAACTAATACTTATATGAAGTTCTTACATACATTTAAAGTAAACTCACTAACAAAGGTAACTTTAACATGTAAAGAAGAAACACTTGCATAATTTAGCTTGCATCAATCTTCTCCTTTTCCTTTCTTGTAAAAACAGTCAGTAAGAAGTAACTGGTGAGCTGTGAGGCTTAGCAAGTTATGCAGAATTAATTAACAATTAAGATGAATAATTAAAATAGCATAACATGAATAATTAGAACATTGAAATCATGACAGGAAATATTGAAAGTTATACTTAACATTTTGCTTCAATGCTTTTGGATTTCTATTGAATATAATTTTTCTGTGCAAGATTTGGCTATACTTTCTTAACTTTATTCAATGGAGCCCAAGTAAACTTAGCATTATCGCCATCGAAATTCATAGAGGACCATTTTGCCTCTTTGGGGTCCCTTTTACCCCACCTGCTAAGCAGGTACCATAATTCCTGGGGTCCCTTTTGCCCCTCTTACCATGTAGTTCTTGAATGAGAACCCATTTGTCTCAACTACATTGGTAATACATACATTAAATATAGCCAAATTTTACATTAATTTTGTATTTAACATTCTTTCAAATCACATATCATATCTTCCTTGATGATTCATGATATATATCTTGTATAAAATTAATATGCATTAGTTTTTCAAGGAAATTGCTATCCTTCCAAAACCTTCTCAAATAGAAAAACCTTTAGATGAGAGTACAAAACATTGTCTTGAACTCATATGGTAGAATTTTATAATCAGTAGTTTACACTTAAAATCTTGGATAAAACATTCTAAAGCAAAATAAATTACTTGCAATGCATAAGTTCCTTTCTTTCAATCAGTCACTAACAATCAATTATAGATATGCAAGTACAATTTGACAATATTCTTTTAAACATTAAATTTGCATTACTTACTTTCTTGACGAAAAGTTTTCTCCAATCCTCTACTTCGAATTCTTCTACTATTGTATGTCACTTCAAAGCTTTCTCTTTGAATATGACCAAATTTATCTAGTACACCATATGTTATAACATATTCAAGAACTTTTACTACTAATAGAAAATTCCATACTAAGCAAATACTAAAATAACTTACCTTCTTTCTTTCCTTCAATTCTCTATTATTCTTCGTTAACTGAAATGATTTATCTTCGCTCTTTCTCTTGATAGTATAAATCCTAAACTTAAGATCATAATCACTTAAATCTCAATCAATTATCATAACAAAATATATAAAAACTTCCATTAAAATCTTTACGTATTCCAATACTTGATAGCAGCAGGATTTTCTTCCTGTTTTTACCAAAGTTCCTTCTCTGGCTGACTTCCAAAGTCTCCTTCTCACTATCTAAACTGATACAGAACCCAATTGCTTTACCGAAATCCTTCAGCCGGACCTTGCTACAGTCCCGCGACATTGTAGCGAACTAAACTACAGGATTCCTGCAAACAGAGAATTCCGACTGCTCTCTGATGGTTACGGGAAAACTACTGCTTGCATGAGCTAAAAACTCTTCATCGCACGGAATAATGCTTACCCCACTTCTTCACTCTCACTTTTCCTTCACACCGCTACAGACTTCACAAGCAATACTTCATAATTATCTTCTGCTTTGCACGTCACTCAAAATCGTAAGCCTATTCTGTGAAATATCAATATGCTTGATATGCCAAACATCACATCCCTTCATTTCAACCAATGCATGCCTAGTACTGGAATTATAAAAGGATTAATTTAATAGGGTAGTGGGACGTACAGCTGTTATTTAAATACATTTATTACTAGTGCTTTGATTTAATATAATAACAGTTAATATATAATAAAATATTTTAGAATTAATACCAAACATACTTAATTTAACCCCAAATATCATTAATTTTAAAATAAGTTTTAGAATATGCTTAAATAAATTTTAAATTTTACATACCTGAAAATTTTGGATCTTACAGACATTTTCCTGACAAACCTAATTGAAACATGTAAATATCATAAATAATAAAATTTGTGAATTCATATTAATTTTTCTTGCAGTAGATAAATGAAAATGATGGTGGTGGTCATGAAGATGACATCATCCTATAATATTCATATTAGAAAAAGTAGAAGTAGAAAGTATCTTTTGTCCAATAGTCATCATTAAAAGTTAAGCATGGCGTGGTTTTTCAAGGATAGGTCTAATAGACTAAATTTAATCCTTTATTTAAATGTTACATAATTGGATCCTTGCACATATCCAAATATTGCCAGTGAAGAGTTTATTTGAGAAATAAATATAATACTTTCAATATATAAGCCCAAAGTCAATCCTGAGTTGCCAAAACTAAAACCCGAAAAATATAAAATAAAAATAAAGGTAAGGTTCAGCCCTATAGGAGCTTCCTTAAACTATATCATAAATGTACCATGGTCTATCCTATCATTTAAGATAGGGGATACCTTTGGCTTATTGTTCCTTATCATTTACTATTTTTTATTAAATAAAGACAAGCTTAAGGGCAAAAGTTAAAAACTGCATTCATAAAGACAAACACATATATAAGAACATCTTGCACTCCGTACTTCTTCTAATTTCATTGCGAAAATACCTTCATTATATATTTGGTCAGTGCTTTTAGCTACGTTCTCTTTATTTTGTTAAACTTAAAAGGACAGCTTTGCAATTTAAATTAATCTTCATGTGTAAAATTGGAAAATAAAAAAAATTGTTTCCATCTCTTTTTGTATGTTTTGTTGATGTACTTTATTTTCTTCATGTTATTATAATTTTAATCTCTCATTACATTTTTCATTATCTTGCAGTAGGAGCATTCAATTGTCACTTGTTATTCTCCTCTTGGGTGTTGGCATTGCGACTGTGACAGATTTGCAGCTCAATGTTTTGGGGTCTGTTTTGTCTCTCCTAGCTGTCATCACAACTTGCATTGCCCAAATTGTATCCTTGATGATACTTGGCACGGTTATTAAATTTGATCTTATCAAGTATAAATTTTGACATAATTTTCATAACAATCAAGTATTTAGTCCAAAATTTTCAAGAATCTATTTCTTGACCATCCAACACAAATCAACATATTGGAGGTCAAGACAATGGAGCTTGATCAAAAAAACCAAACAATATCACAATCGCATAAATTTAATTCAAATGAGTTTAAATTAAGCACTGAAAGCACTTAATATTGCATGTTTTCTGACATTCCCAATCAATTTTGATTCACTATGCCAACATTCGATCTCCAACATTCATCAACCATCGATGCTCAACTCCCACATCTATCCATTATTGCCTACCCTTCGATGTTCGTGTCAACAATCGTCTAACTTCTATCATTGACCAAAATGTTCTACATCCTACAATCGCCAAGTTTTATCCCTATCATTTTGGCCACCCAATCTCCATTTTTATCAGGAGAATGACAAAGCTAATCGTCTACTATTGCCCGATGTCCAATATTCTTGTCAACCTTTTCCGACACCGATCAAAGACCAACACTTCATGTCTCTCAACTACAACATCTAAGTCAACCGCCCATTGTTGCCCAATGTTTGCCATCCTCATAGATCATTATCCAGTATCTACCAATGATCGATGCTTGACTTCCGTTGATAGCAGGATACAAAGGCAATGATACAGGAAACCGAAAAACTGACAGACTCCAGTAATCACTATCACATATACACCCCTAAACCTTCATCTCAAATCTTCTCTTCAATTCCAACCATTCATCTAAAACCTTTCATTCAATCCCAACCATTCATTTCAAACCACCTCTATCCCATGTAACAAACTCAGCATATTATCTATAAAAAAAAAAGAGACAATCATCTCTGTTATTTTGGTATGGAATTATAATAGAGCAGCTCTACTTTTTTTTTCTTCCTATATTTTTATAATTGCTTTGGGCGATCAAGTCATTAATAAGAGTACACGTTTTATAGAGCAGCTCTACTTCTTTTTTTTTCTTCCTATATTTTTATAATTGCTTCTACAATGCGTTACCACTCCAAGGCTTTGCGCTACTTTTATGTTTCGAACTCAAGAACAAGCTTCAACATATTTCTATGTGGGATCAATCTATGACCAAGTATCTCTCTAAAATTAAAGCCTAGTTTGATGCTATAACTACATATGGATTATCCTTAGGTCCAAAAGACATATACTCTATGTGATGAAAAAATTAAAACTCTAAATCTATACTTAAATAACTCAACCATCAATCAAAGACAACGAAAGCTGCTATAAAATTCAAATAATAAAAATAGCTCAACACATTTCATTTCATCAAAATATATAAATAATAATCCCGTAACTTTTCAATCATCCATATATTAGAATAATTTAAAATTGGATTAAAAAATGGTACCTCAATCTACTAAGACTCAAAAGGTCCTGCTTCTACACCTTTTTATCCTGTTGGGCCTTTTTCTTTTATTGAAATATCAGAATGAACATAATGAGCACAATTAACCCAAAAGACTTTTTTCCTAACTGATATCAACATCCAAATTAAAATATTAAATTACAATATAATGAAAAAGATAGTGACTTGTAAAAAATAATATAAGCATTGGTATAACTTAATTTTTTAGGCTTTACGTATATACTTGAAGTTATCACTTGTAAAGCTACTTTCATAGATATTTTCAAATACATCACATAACACTTATTATTAGAAGTTCACTTGTACTTAGACTTTCATATTTCATCAAAGTTCATACGAAAATTCAAAAATTTCTTATATTCAATTCAGAATATTGTTCGCACTTAATTCATTAATATATATGCAATTTAATTATCATAATGCATATGACCCGATGTCTGGTTATAGGTCAACTTCGACTTTAACCTCCCTTTAACTTGCCACACCTGCTTATAACAAATGGGGTCAGAATCCCTTGCACATCCACACTAGGCAGATGAAGCCGAAACAGAACATATAGAGCCCTTGTAACATCTTAGAACATCTCTAATATCATGCTATGAATAGTGTAAATACAAATGCAACAATAACTAAGTTATGAATTCAATGTAATATTCAAATAATGCATGAATTGTTAGTAAAAGTCACATTCCATGTATAATATTATACACACTAAACTTTTGCTATTCAATTTCCAATTTCAGAGGAATATTCACATGAATATTTTAAGACTTTTACATAACTATTGCAATTGTTATAAAAACCTCAGTTAAATCATATACTCATAAATTTGTGTAGAAAAAAATAAATAGGTGAAAATTCGATTTCTTATAGTTTAAATGTTCAAAGTAAAGCATACACTAACATATTAAAGTTGCGCAGTGAAACCATTATAAAATCTGAGAAAAACACATTTTTATCCATAAATTTTTATAAATACTGAAATTGAAATCAGAGAGAAGTTTAGAAGTCTACCTCATGCTCTACGAAATCTCTAACTAGCCCGACAGACGAAACCTGGCCTTTGGCCTCTTAATCCTCTATTTTTCTTTCTTTCTTCTCTTCTCAACCCCTCCCCTCTTATTCTCCTTCGTTGTCCGGCAATTTGATTGGGTGAGGGGATAGGGTGAGTTAGCTAATAGTTTAAGATATTTTAATTATATAAAAAACACAAATTTGGTCAAGCGTTGCGTCACTAGCATCCTCAGCGCCACAACGCTGAATCGAATATTCTAGATTCCCCTAGAATCTTTACAAATAGAGAGCACGACACCGCGGCAGCTCCACCTAGCATCATAACACACGTTCAAACTCACTTCTCCCATTGGAGAGATCAATGCCACGACGCTGCCCACCCGACACCGTGACACTCCTAGAGAATATTCTATGAATAAAATTTCATTTCCCTGTCTACTTCCTGACTTAAGCACTTAAGAGTTCATCAGGCACTCTAAGATCCATTATTATTAATCAAATCAAAATTAAACACATTAAAAGTACTTATCTGCATTTCTGAATAACATATGGTATACTCTACACCTTGAATTGCTTTCCTTCCTCCAATCAAGTATTCAAGATAGCTATATACACTAATTTAAATTGAAGTCACATCACGTTAACATTAAACATGCATCTTTTCAAATCCTAAAATTTAAAGTTCAAATTTATTTATTATGACATGCTATCATCTCTGTAACATTTTTTTTAAATTCAGAAGGTCATAGCATGACATCATTACATCAACCCAAAGAAACAATCAAATTCATATTTTATTGGTTCATTTAAAGTTATATTTGCCACTCAACTATTACAAAGGGTGATTTATAGTCAACCTCTCAAAAGAAAGAAAATAGTTTAAGAAAAATTGAAGAGAGATCAGTAGCAGTTTTTCTGGAGATCTTGTCACTATCAATAAGATGCTTCAAGATGAATTCCCCTCCCTCCCTGAATTGATTTGATTTGGTAAATCTCATATATCTTCTGCGGTCGACAACCTAAATCTTCATAGTAGCCACTTTTCAGTAGAGTCGATGAATGATACCTTCAATTTGGCAGTTTATTCATTGAAATTGGATTTTTCTAGTTCTTAGCCATCCGTCATGGAAGCCATGGACGACTTCAGTTAGCTGACTTCAGCAGACAACTCATCATCTCTTTTTTACCAGCGCCACTTCATGAAGTTTCCTGGGTGTGGCAGAATTTGCACTATATTCATCCTGGAAAAATTCTCTCATAGTCAGCCTAACAATTTTTCTCAAAATTCAGGCACTAAGCTGACTAAATTCAAAGGCGTCTTGGGATATTTCTCTATAGCTAATTTGGCTAAAGGGAAGGCTGGAAGAGGAAGAATTTCATTGAAAAGATTTGAAGTGGACTTCTAGATAAGGTCAATATAAAATTTTACCGAAGGAATTGAAAAAAAATTATACTCTAGTTATTTTCTTGCCAGCTTCAGTACTCGACCCTTTAGTAGTTTGTTGCTCAAAAGCACCTAGGTGACTCCAATTGTCACTATTTCAATAGGTGATTGGACGTCTTCGACCTCAGTTATTACGCTAGGCAGTTGAACAACTTCAACTTCATCTACCTTAGTGGGCGACTGAATAACATTTGTTTATGAGATAACTACCATTTGTCCAATTTTTAGTTAAGTTGATTTTTTCCACAAAATTTTCAAATTTTATCTTCTCTCCTAGTTTTAATTTCAGTTGGAGAGAGCGATCATTGGCAGGCCAATATCTTTCTCAACATCAGTAGATGAGAATGAGTGCTAATCAGTCAAAGACTTTGACAAGACAACGAGCTCTTGGATATCGCCCTTAGACTTCTTCTCATTAATTTTTACCATCTACTTTAGCGATTATATCATCTTTTGAAAGTTGATTTTATCCTTTGAAACTTTCATCCTTCATAGGAAAATGCAGAGCTCAAAGGAAATGAGTGAATGCAGAAAAAGCTTTGGAATGGGGTAGAGTTATCTTATAGGTGTTAAAACAAGTCAACGAGTCGGGTTTGGGTCCGACCCAAAACTAGCCAGACCCGAATCTGATCAATCTTAACCCGACCCAATAACCCGTTTTAATTAAAAATGTTTTTATTAGTTATTAATAAAAAAAAAGATTAAAATAAGAAGATTATATCAATAAATAAAAGAAATTAAAATAAATTAAATGGGTCAATTTCAGACAAAATCGGGTTGGCGGTCAACCTGAACCTAATTGTTTTGGTCGGGTTGGCAGGTCGAGTCATTTATTGATACCTCTAAGTAATCTCATATTTACAGATTAAGAATTGGCTGATGTGGACAAAAGGACAATGTCATAAGCTAACATTAAATTTATTGATTAATATCTAATATTAAAATAAGTATTTATGAAGGCTTTATGATTAATTAATGAAGAATATTTTTTATATTATCTTATTCTTTTTGCAAATAAACTTCCAAAGATATAAGATAATGAACTAAATGTACAATCAAATATTCACAGATTCATAAAGGTGAATTTAAGTTAAGTCGACTCAGTTCAAGCTAAACTCTCTGTACTCTAGTTTATTTTACTGAATTCGCAGAGCTATCACTCGAAAATTCTACTTTCTATTTCTCTCCTTTCATTTTCACTTAATATTCTCAATATAGTTTAATGTAATTTATAGACAATTTTGAATTGAGCAGTTCTTCTTTTAAACCAGAGGTAATTTCAAAGGTTCCCTCTTAACTTACATGTGGACAAGAGTTATTGATGAATTCACCATTATGAGTCTGTGGTCTACATTGTTGCAGTGTTGATAACAGTCTTTTTTTTTTTCTTTTGCAATTGTGTGCATGTGTATATGTGAGAAAGCATGAAATGAATTGCTCTGATCATCCATTGTGTGAGGCCTTAATCAAGTACTTGTCAGATGACCAATAACATCCAGAAGAGGTTCAAGGTTACATCGACACAACTTCTGTATCAGTCTTGTCTCTACCAGGCATTAACCCTGGTTACTACAGGTCCTTTTGTTGATCGGTTACTCACAAATCAAAATGTTTTTGCTTTTAAATACACCCCTCAGGTTCTGGTAAGCACCAAATAAATCCGACTATCTCATTTTCTTTTGCCCAAACTTCATACATAATCTACATGGAAAATTTTCTTGCAGGTTTTTATTGTTTTGTCCTGCCTTATATCAGTTTCAGTCAACTTCAGTACATTCCTGGTAATTGGAAAGACTTCACCTGTCACCTATCAGGTCTTGGGCCATCTAAAAACTTGCCTTGTCTTGGCCTTTGGCTATGTCCTACTCCACGATCCATTTAGCTGGAGAAACATTTTGGGGATTTTGATTGCATTAATTGGAATGGTCTTATATTCCTACTACTGCCATATTCAAAACCAGCAAAAATCTGTTGAACCACCTGCCCAGCTATCACAGGTATAACTTTTTTTTTTTTTAATGTTGCTTCTCACTTTTGCTAACTATCAAGACTGCTTTTGCTTGCAATATCCTGTCCAAATGTGTTGGTCCAGTTCAACCTCCATGGTAACCTCACTTGGTTGATCAAGATGGTGTCTTTGAGTCTTGATCGACCAGAATGCTTGTTATGTGTTTATCAACAAAGTCTTACATGGGGTCCTGGTTGGGTACCCATTGGGTACCCATGCTTTACTCGGACGGGCTTAGCCCACCCACGCCCACCCATGGTGACTTTCAGGGTGTTGTACACTACGTAGTGAGGATTGCATTAATATAAGATATATGATGATTAGCAATGTAAATCGATTTATCTTACGATTTTAAGTATCCAATGGGTATGGGTGGGTACATGTGGGTGTGAGTATGGGTACCCAATGCAGATCTCTGTTTATCAACCAATCAACCATGGACTGGTTGAAATAGGCCTTCGCATTGGTGCAGGTGGTCAGACTTGGGATTCATTTAGGGCAACTGCAATTATCTGTAAAAGTCGTTAAAATTTATTTTGTTCAATGATTCATTCATGTCGGGTTTGCTAATCAAAAGCACCAAATCTTTTTTCAGGCAAAAGAAAGCGATCCTCTAATCAATTTAGAAGATAGTGCTTCTACAATTAACGCTGTGCCTTCAACTGCACCTGAATGGAAATCAAATAAAGATCTGGAAGCCTGACATCAGACCAAATTTCCTTGTTCGTCCATGAGGTTTTCTGCTGTTTCTCATCAACAAATCTCAATCTCGAGAAAAATCTTCTTAAGCGCAGAGTTCAACGCATAAGAGAAGAACAGAAATACAAAACTAAGGAATAACAGAACGGTCCAGTGAAGCACTGGCTCACATACCAGCCGGCTCTGTTATCAGTTAAAAAAAACAAAAGAACTTGAGGTCTATTAGGAGAATCCCTTTGCTAAGATGTATGATTTGAATTGAATGATGTAAATTGATTGTAATTCTGAATCTTCATGGCCTACCAGGGAGAGAAAGGTACGTTCAAAGCATCTTCTTCAATTTCAATTCTGTTTCATAGAACAAGCACAGTGCTCTCTTACTTTCTACTCTGCTACTGATTCATAGTAGGTAAAAAATGTAGAATATAAATTTACACGGTTTTATTGTTCTTTGCATTGAGAATTTAAAGAATGCTGTTAATTGTTCTCTACACAATATGCTAAAGCTAAAAGCCCGGTTTCGACGCCCAATAACCTAGGCTTCGTTTGGGACAACTTTCTTATTGCTTTCTACTGCAACTTCTCAGCACGAAAACCTATTGAAATTAGTAAAAAAAATAGTGATCAAAAGCTGTCTCAAATGAAGCCCTAGATGTGTACAATAGGTCTGATAGAATTAAAAAAAAAATGTGTACAATTGGTCTTTTATTCATTTATTTTGGTGTAATAAATTTAGAGTTTACACCATTCAATTAATTAGCTGAATTAATTTTTTTTAGGTCCCCACGTTAGTCTAGAGATAATGATGAAGTGATGGTAATTACGCGATTGCGGTGGTTGACAGTGGTTGTCGACAGCGAATGTCCAGTTAAACTCTAGAGTTCTTTAGATCTCTAAATTCTCTCCAAATTCAAGTCTCGGTCCCTTTTATGTGGAGAGTAGGGGTCCATTTACAGTACTTTTAGAGTGAATACTTTGATAAATTTAGCCAAAATTTCATGACACTATATCGGATAATTCATATCAAATATTTTGATTAGAAATTATTTATGCAGCATTTCAATGCTTTAATGATCTTAGAATCAAGTGATACCTCTATCTTAGCTAGTATTAGCTAGTATTGATTTGAGCTAGAGCTCTATCTGCCTGCACTTCCCGGACAGAAACCAGTTTAGATACCTACAAGTTACTTTTATGGGCATGTATGGATATATATTTAATCTATTGATTCACTTGCTCCTTTAAAGGGTGGTTTGTGAAAAAGGATAAGAGAATTTAAGAAGAAAAATATTTACAATCTTCATTTAATAAAAATCAGAGTTTTGCTTATGCTATTGCCTCCACTTAAGTAACGGACATCCTCGTCTCAGTATCTGTATCCCAGAATCATCCATCAGGTAGATAGAACTCTAGAGGTGGCCCCTACATATTCAAGTGGTGGCTCCCGTCATACAACACTTGGTCTCATACAAAATTCAAGAGGTGGCTCCCTTGGCATAGCACTTTGTATTGTATGACACTTAGCTCCCATCTTCCGGTTGGTTTATTGCTCTGATATCATTTGTAACAACTCAAACTCTTAACTATTGAGATATTGTCCTCTTTGGCCTAAGAGCCTCACGGTTTTGTCTTGTTAATGTAACTTCCCAGCAGGTCATCCATCCTAGAGCAATTCTGGGATGAGCACGCTTAACTGTGGAGTTTCTTACTAAAATTTCAGGCATTATACCAAAAGGTGCCTCGATATTTAAGAGTTAGCTTTTTTTTACTTAAGGAATTTCGCAGTTGAGGTTGAGGGGAGAAAATTTTGACATTACTAACAACAACAAGAAGAAGAAGGTGATAGTGATTAAGCTGAGCAAAATCAGCAAGGGGTGAGCTGAGTAAGATATGGAGATTGAGTCAGGTAAGGCAAAGAGACCGAGTAGAGTAAGGCGATGAAAGGTGCATTTTTCTTTGAAGTCCTTGGGTGAATTCAAGCATTAGAGATGGACCTTGTCCTCTTCGATGCCAATTTTGAGGAAGGGAAGAGGAGGATCGAAGCCCAAGAGAAGGCAAGTTCAATGAATGATGAAGCTGTCGTGTTGTGAAGGGAGGTGTGGGAGTTAATGTTCAAGATTTTAGTGGCTCCCAAGCTTTTTGAATAGGGGTGTTAAAATGGGTCAACGAGTCGAGATTGGATCCGTACTGAAATTAACCCATCCTATGCAGTTGACTCGAACTAGGCTCATTTAATAAACGAGTCAAAAAATCGAACCTGAACTTGACCCGATAACCCATTTTAATTTCTTAGAAAATATTTTCATTAACTTATTAACTATAAATTTTAGATTATACCAACAATAAAAGAAATATATTAAACGTGTTAATTTTGGGTCAAACTAAGTTGGCGCATCAACTCGAATCTGATATGTTTAATAAATGAGTCATGCCCATGTGTAATAGAGCATGCAAAATTGCTAAAAAAAAATATTAGATAGATAAATACATAAAAGTTTTATGGTTTGTATGTAAAGTACCCTTTAATATTTTGTTATGAGGATTCTGAGGGAACATAAGTTCAAATATTTTAAAATATGAGTTCTGGTTGAAAAATATTATATTATTGGTATATTATTAGTGGTTAAGATATGTCAAATAATTATCGAAAGATTAAGACTTTGTTTGTGACAGTTTTAAAACAGTTTTTTAGTACAAAATTTTCAAATTCAAAAAAATTTTGTACTAGAAATCTGTTTTAGAAAGCAAAAAGAAATTCGTTCCAAACGAAGCCTGATTATTGCGAAATATTTGAGGAAGTCATATATCACTATTAAAATTGACTGACTCAAAATATATTAAAGTTTGATTTGTTTGAGCATTTTGATGAGTGTTTTCAATGATTGAAAATTGCATTAGAAATATATGAGATGTATTCTAATTTGTCTATATAATATTTCCATCAATTCATCAGGCTGCTAAAGGAGGCCTATCATATTAATAATCTAATACAAGGCGAAATACATACAACCAATTTTTTATTTCAAAGAGCAATACTATATGATGCATGAGTTGACTATCTAATTCAATATCATTGAATGTATCCCTTTGAGAGATAAATATTGGCAATAGTAGCTAGTTCTTAAAATTGCATTATATATAATGGATATAAGTAGATAAATATTATAACCAAAATTTTCAATGTACTAAAAAATTTATAGTGAACTTTTACTCAATGGATTGAATGAATGAGCATCTTGATTGCTTTTCTTTTGATATAATATAAGCCCAAATAATCTTTTCTTTTGATGTGATAATCGGAGTGTCAAAATCAAATCATAGTACATAACCCAAAATAATGCTTCGTTTGGGACAGCTTTCTAAATACTTTATAAAGCTGCTTTTTAATTAAAAAATATCTTAAAAACATAAAAAAATAAAAAATATTGGTCTAAAGCTATCCAAAACGAAGCCTATCTCTTTTGATTAGCTACAATATGTATGCATGGAATACCCTATGAGGCTATGATTGATGCAACACAAGCACTTATTGACAAAACGCTTACTAAGGCTTCGTTTGGGACGGCTTTTTATTGTTTTCTAAAACGGAGTTTATGGAATACCCTATGAGGCTATGATTGATGCAACACAAGCACTTATTGACAAAACGCTTACTAAGGCTTCGTTTGGGACGGTTTTTTTAATGCTTTCTAAAACGGAGTTTTAGTACAAAATTAAAAAAAATTGTAGAAAGCAATAAAAAAGCCGTCCCAGACTTCGTTTGAAACCGCTTTCTTATTACTTTCTAAAGCTATTTTTTGTATAAAAAATTTTTAGCCCAAGAAATTTTAGTACTAAAAAGTTATTTTAAGTAGTAAGGAAGTTGTCACAAACGAAGCATAAGTAGTGACTTGAAAAGCCTAATAATAACCCACAAACTATTTGATCAAATTTTTATGTAAATATTTTGAAATTTAATTCAAAACTTATACATGCAATAGAGTTTAAGTTAAACATAATATTTAAAATATTTTTTATAATAAATTTGTTAACATAATTAAAATAGGTATTTTAATTTAAGATAGTTAGTTCATCAAACTAATTTTATTATATTTTAATTAGCATATTCATCATCCATGGTACATTGTAGGATAAATATCATAATCGTGGACATAAATACATAAATGCACGAGAAATTATTATGTGCGGAGATCGGACCCACAACATCATCCGGAGATTAATCAGAACTAGCCACATCAGATGTAAAATGCCGCGATACCGAGCAATACCGAGCCACGGTATCACGCGAAGGGGTGTATTATGATTAATCTTCGGACAGCATTCGACGTCCGCACAGAATAATTAATCTAAATGCACACAACTAAAATATTTCTTAATTTCTTGCACGTTATTTTTTATATTCTTATTAATTTTGAAATGTCAAATAATTAGTTAGGGGCTGTTTGGTTGCCTGAAAAAGAAATGCAGTGTAAAATAAATGTAATGTATTCCGAATACGTTGAGACTGTTTGGTGGTTTATAAAATAAACGCAGGAGAACTGTTTCATTTGTTTGGTTAGGTAGATCTAGAGTAAAGTAAAAGTTATATTTTTTAAAAAATAGTTTGATAGAAATCATGGATACTCATGCAACCATCTGTTAGTATTTTCATCAAAACCTCTCACATCGTCATTTTCAAATTTCAATATATATATTTTTTATATTCATAAGACTCGAATTGAAGGGCTCTTAGGCATTATTTGGGATAAAATATTACTTTCTAAAGCTTCTTTTTAAAACATTTTTTTTCCAGCATATGAAGGACATTCAAGGAAAATTCAAGGAGATTCGCCGGATTGGAATTGCTTGAGCATTGAGCGCACCGACCTACCAGCGAGCTCATTTACCCGCTCGACGCCAACCTCGACGTGCCTTGCTTGGCCGGCGAGGAGGCGCACGAGGTCTTTGATTTCAGCTGAAAGGTCCACAGAGTCGAGTGGTATGAATTCAAGGGTAATGGAGACGGAGCGGGGAAGAACGCGGAACTTGCCTACGATATGATTGGCGTTAAGGAGGATCCAGAGGCGGGCGCCACCGTGAGCACAGTCGGCGAGGAGAAGACGAAGCTTCTGAAGAGTAACGTGAAGATCGGAGAGGCCGAGCATGGCCGAGCGAGTAAGCGCCGTGGAAAAGGGACGGAGATTGTCAAGGAAGGCGACGATGATGGTGGCGTAGCGGAGAGCCTCGTGCGCGGCCCGGCGATGAGTGCCGAAGTTGCCGGTTTGGTGTCGACCAATGACATAGATTGCACCGTCGCTTCTCGGCTCCCTTGTCATCGTTTGACTTCGTTCATTCGCGCCAGAGCGACAGACCACACGGATCACTCCTTCCTTTCCTTCGTTGCTATTCGACTTCGGCTCCCTCTTGGCTGTTCGACTTCGCTCTTCGCAGGAGGGATGGCATGAGGCTAGTTCTCGAGTGAAGAATTTCAAACCCGCTCATTTTGAGGAACAATTATTACGTCCGGTGACCAGACGTAGCTCTACGTGCGGTCACCACTGAGTTACTCGGTATTTGCTCGATATTGCTAGGTATTGCTTGACAATAAAGAGAAATACCGCTATGTGAAGACCAATATCGAGTAATACTGAGTTTTTCTTGGTATTGCTCGGTATTACTCGGTATTTGTCTTCACATAATGGTATTTCTCGTTATTGTCGAGCAAAATCGACAAATACGTGGTTTTGTGCCTGCTACGTGGAGCGATCTCAGAGCCGGTCGAACCTAGCTCAACGTCCGTTCACCGGACCAAATAAACATTCCATTTTGAGCGGCTATCGAAGTCGCGGGATCCGCCTCCCGTAATACGTGCTTAATGCTTCGGGAGGTTTCCTTTTGTTCCGCTCAAAATTAACCAAACAATAAAATTTAGTAAATACATGTATTTGTTTTACTTTACCCTCCTAATTCAGGCAACCAAACAGGCCCTTAGTGCAAATATAGTTAAACTAATAAATAAATATAGCATCAATAATAATTATTAGTTTTAAAAATTGTTATGGATATGAGATTGGGCCGAGCTGCCTTCGGCCTTTCCGGCCCATAAGATGAACGGTGATGGTGAGTCAAATCTCTTCAATCCCAAAAAATGTGAACGCGAGGTTCTTACACTACTATAAATACTTGCATCGCGGGCCTTCAAAACCCTAACGAAGCAAGAGAGAGCAGCCGGCAGAGGGTCACTGGTTTTGCAATTAGGGCATAAGCAGCCGATCGCCTGCGGCAATGGTAGAGAGGCGTTAACCTTCTTACCTGTCTTATCTGATCCCTTTTCTTTCCCATGGATCTGACTACAATTTCCTTCTCCTTTACAGACCTTCAAGCGCAGAAATGGCGGCCGAAACAAGCACGGCCGCGGCCACGTCAACTTCATCCGCTGCTCCAACTGCGGAAAATGCTGTCCCAAGGTGTTTACTGTTCTCTAACGTTAATTTTATTTTTACGACATGTTGTGTGTGGATAAAACCCTAGAAGTGATCAGGCGGAAAAGGATTTAGGGCTTGTGTTCTTTTTTGTATGCAATTGAGTTGCGATTGTAAAATTGTTCTTCGTATGATTTTTGTATTTCATCTCAGGATAAGGCTATTAAGAGGTTTCTGGTGAGGAATATCGTGGAACAAGCTGCCGTCAGGGATGTACAGGAGGCCTGTGTTTATGAAAGTATTGCCTCGACTTTAAATTTTGCCGTTTGTTTCTTGTAATGTTTTTTACCTGATCAATTTTTTTCTTGTAGATTATACTCTCCCAAAACTCTATGCCAAGGTTCAGTACTGTGTTTCCTGCGCTATTCACTCTCATGTTGTAAGAGTTAGATCTCGCACTGCCAGGAGGGTTCGTGAGCCTCCACAGCGGTTCAGGCGCAGGGTATTTGATCTCTCTTTTGATATTTTAGATTACTTTTTTGGCTGATTCAGATGCTAATGTATGATTCTCTTTTTTCTGTGGCAACTAGTTTGTGAAAGAATTTGAACCTTTTTCTTTGTGATGTTATGATAAATTTGACTAGCCTGAATTTAAATTACATTGATTTTTTGGTGCTGGTTTCGTCTCAGTTAGGAGAAATAATAGTACAGTTGAGTCAGTTGTTCATGATTGTGCTAAATTGACATGATGACTTGATATTGCATGTCATTGAACCAACATGCTCTTAATTCTTTTAATAATTGATATACCAACATAGATGTGGTGATGGTAGTAACTTGTCTTTCTATTGCTTTTCTAGTTATTGCCATGCCTTATAGCTTGTCAATTTAGTGTAGTCCTCAATTACTAAGAAATTTGATGTTAAAATTAATACTCATGTATGTTTGCAGTTAGGCTATTGTGATCATTGTTTTCATTAATCTTATCTCATGTTTTTGGGTTTGGCTTCATGAAATCATTATCCATTTGTTATTGTTGAGTGTCAAATGAGATGTTGATTTTTATTTTCACAACTCTTGTGGCATAATTCCTAACCATCATGTTTTTTCTATCTCCTTGATACTTAACATTCATTAAAAATGAATCTCATTTTCCTAACATCATTTGTTTTTTTTTTTTTGGCTAAACAACCTAAGTTTATGCTATAATCTTATTTCAATGGGTTTCACATTATCTCCATAATATTATCATTTTTTTCTTTTTTCCCTTGGTTTTATCATACATTGTAATGTTCTATTTTCTGCTTGTTTTTATAGTTCATGATTTCTCAATTATTCACATTGGAATGCATGCCTAACTCCACCCTTTTGAAATTGACCTTGTAAATTTTTGTATTGTCAGTATTCATGGTACTTTTGAGACATTTTATTTTGTCCTCCTAAGTTTTACTTAAAAGTTTGTGTGTTAAAATGCCCTCATTTTCGGTCTTGTTATTGTACTTGCATATTATACATACGGATGGAGTTGGTCATAGCACAACTTTCATTTATTGGATCTATGAAAGTTAAATTTATGACACTTTTGTGTCAAGTATTGATTGATAATTGTTAGTTTTAACAATACTAACATTGCTTACAATGTACAAATTTTGTTCTGTGAATCCTAAATCCATTCTTCCAAATATTTTCTTGATACTTGTGTTTCCCCATGACCATAATTTAAACTTAGGTTTGAAAGACTTATGAAATTGGTAGGAAGTATTTAGTACAACAGATTTGGACTTCAATGGAATTATTTGAATAATAATGGACGTTCCTTACTTTTTTGCTGTAAAGAAATGAAAGCATTCACTATTACTAGAAAGCAAGCACAACAATGGTAACTTTTAATTGTTGTAGTCAGAGAGGAAAAGGGAGTTGGAGATTCCTATAAAAGCTTGAAAACAAGAACAAAGAGGAGGTGAGAGATCTGGTGGGGGTGGTTGATAGGTAATAAAAAAAATTGAGGACAAAGAGGGGGCTAATGGATTATTCAATAGGGAGAGGGATTTCTGGGACTTGGAAACGATCTTTATTCAATCAAATCTTGATTTCAATTTACAAACTTGATCTGTATTTATAAAGATCCAAGAAATATTTAGAAATCTATTAAAAATTTTCGAAGAAACTTGAAGATTGGAACTACCTTCAAAACATCACACTCTTAGATCACCTTATATTTGGCACTTAAACAAGGAGAAATTAATGGAACTAGTTTTGTGTAGTTTCTTTAATTTTCTTTAACTTCTCTCTAAGCCAGCTTCTTTAATTGAAAGTCGAAATTACAATTTTTGCAATTGAGTATTCAACTCAATGTATATTTTTTTCCAATCAATCGGTCATGGTTAATTACACAAATAATATTCAGGGTTAAGGATTCAATTGCCATATCCCTAGGAGGGTTCACAAACCCTTAAAACTTTTCTTTTTGGTTGCCTTACAAATGTGTGATCTATTTTTTCGTCTTTTTATGGTGACGGGCTTCTAAATATTTTGTAATGGTTTATTGTACTTCATTTGACTTAGATAAAAAATTGTGATGATATTTCATGCTTTTCATTAGTATTAATGTTCTTAATCATAAATCTTGTAATTAAATAGAGTTTATGTGTACAAACTCTATTTATTTTTTAATCATAAATTTATATTATTAGATAAATATTATATCATTACTATTTCATTTAGATATTGTTAAAAAAATAATAATATTTATTATGTCATATGATTCATTGCTGGTTGAACCACTAAACCTTGAACCTCTATTCCTCTGGTTATATTTCCAGTCCGGTTTTCACAATCTTGAGTTTACCGACTAAGACATGCATGCAACATTAAGGTTAATGCTAGATCTACCATTGTCACTTAGGTTTAGTTTATTTTTCTCAACTATTATGTTCTTTCTTTCTAGTTACTTTGGCCTCTTCTCTGGATATAAGTTCTTTCAATCCTAAAGCTCATGCCTTGTTGTTTTTCCAATAATCACATTGTCTTGTGTCCTACTCTGTAGTTGAACCTTCAACATTTTCCTTATTTATAGTTGTAAGTTTTGGCTTTTTTGTCTTATGAAAAGTGATTTTTTTTTTGTTAAGTTTAATACTTTTTGCACAAGCTTCAAGAACATTAACAATTGAAAAAATCTTCAATTTTATGTGAAGGTTTTCTTGATGCCTTGCAACATATTTCACTAATGCAAAATTTTTATTCAATTAAAATTGTAATATAATTGATTTTCTTCTAAATTTTGTCATGCATTTTGCTTGTTATCCTGCTGTTTTCATTAGATCCATGTTATTCTTAGTGTTTGTTAGAATAGAATTGAGCTTGATACTCTTTAAAAAGGTTGATAGATAGTTTTTAGTTGGTGAGATCCATCTCACTTTAATTTATCAAGACAATTTCAAACAAACAAATGCAATTATTTCTATTAGTATAATTATTAACCATGAAAAATGTTTTGGAGGATTTAATCAATTTTCATTTGCCTCAGCTTTGATTACTTTGTTAAGTAGGGCAACTCTTCCTTTACCTTTTATCTTGAAGGTAAGATCTGTTCTCCATCATGTATTCTTGAAGGTAAGATTTTCTCCTCCTTTGCCTTATCTTGAAGGTGAGTTTCTATCTCGTTTGTGTATTCCTAACTTCTCCCCTTTTTGTTGATTGATATTCCTTTCCAATTTGTTACCTTTTATTAGAAGTCTCTTCTTTTGTTTGGATAAGTGATGGGTGGTATAGATGTTGGTGATGCCACCTTACCAATGATGGCTTCAATGCTAGAGTGACCATTTGATAAGCCATTTGTCCATCTATTCCTTGATATTGAAAAGGCCTTCAATTCTCTACTATCAATTGGAAGGATATAGGACTAGATATTAGGACTTATATGGAGTAATATGAAGGATAATGGACCCTCCATTGTCTGTGTTTAAGCAATGCTTGCATTCTTTTTTACGAACAAGCAAACAAAATATTTATAATTTGTGATTGTTTTAAGAGGGGTTGATTGCTGCAGTCAGAAAAGAAAGTGTAGTTTTAAGTTTTTATAGTGCTTGGAAGCTGGAATGGATGGGAAGGGGGGAGATCTAGTAGGAACTTTTGGGAGACCAGGAAGCAGTCTTCATTCATCCAAAATTTGATTTTAGATTACGAAACTTATCCTTATTTATAGAGGTCCAAGAAACATCAATAAATCTATTCAAATTTTAGAAGAGAATAGAAGAGATGAATTAACCATAAAATAGCTACCTTACGCCTTGAATCCCTAAAAGGTGGTTAGCTCCTAAAAAATGAGATATATTAGAAATAATATTTGGATGTTTTATTGATTTTCTTCATTTAATTTTCTATCTCCTATCTTCTTACTGACCGCCTGACCTTTTTTTATTTAATATTTATAAATTGCAATTTCTGAAATTAAGTTTTATCTAAATTCATATTTGAATTCACAAATCAAACCTTCAAGGTTAATCAGGCAAGTATAATTGAGAGCCTCTTGAGTCATGCCTACTGAATTAGTTGTCATGGATCTTCTCTTTTATTAAAATCAATTAAAAACCTCAGGTCTTTTTGATTTTGTGGATGTTTTTATTAATTATTTTAGTGCAGAGTTATTCCATAGTGACTTGATTTCTTGATCAATCCTTTACTCTTTTCTATCACTTTATTCGTTTAATTTTAAACTTGTTTTTTCTTCAAACACGCACTTTTTTTACACCAAATAGACATCCATTTTCTCTATAAATATTTTTTTTTGTTAAGCATTCTATTTTAGTCTCGGAACTCTATAATTCTTATTATTTGATCTCATCTATTCTTGGAGATCTATGTTCTTTAATTTTTTCATTTTTTGGATAAAATTTTAGTTCATTTCATTTTTTAGTTGGATAATCTTTAAAGAATTTTTAATATTCTCGTTTTATCATCAACACCATTGGCCTTGTTCCAACTGTTAAGGACCAGCTTAACGAATCGTTGTCTGTTTCATGTGGAGTAACATGGCATTGTAAAACTATTTTATGCAAATTTGTATCCTTTTATAATTTAATGACTTATCCGAATCCTTTAGCCTATTCTGTTCAACTTGTAGCTAGCTCATAATGATGTCTGTCGTTCAATATTTCAGAATGGGGATATGACATATCTACTGTCTATTCCATAATCTTTAAGATAATGCATGAATAGAAGTTGTCTTGTGGGAAGGACCTTTACTTGGATCTTTTGTGAAATTATAAATTATATTTCTTTGAGAGGAATTATGTTCTGCCAATCATGCCTTATGCTTCCCATATTGGCTTCATGGGACATCATTGTATGCCATAGTTTTGAGCATTAACTACAAAGAATGAATGGAACTTTAGATAAGTGAATGTTCCATTCAGTGGATTGCTTATTTGAGGGGAGCAACACCACTCAAGAATTTTGCATATTTCCTTCAAAACTGTGGATTTTTTTGTTTGTTTTTGTTTTTGGTAGTGTAGTGAATGCTGCTGTATAGAGTTTTTCCTTTAGAAAAAATTATTCTGTGCGGTCAAACTTGCCGTCCGAATGCCCAAGCTCGGTACCGCACGGTACCGGTGCTCGGCATTTCCGACGTGGCTTATTTTGGTTGGTATCCGAAGCTCGCTTTTGCAAGGCGTTACGTCCATTGAGAAATTTTAAACAGTGGTCGTGTCAACAAAAGCGTAGATGAACAAGTCATTTGGAACAATGTTGGGACATTTGCATGATGACTACTACTTTATTCCGTAGTTATTATCAGTTCCCGCTTGTGCTCATTCACTCTTTTTTTGCCTTCTATTTATTAGGCTCTCCCCTCCAACCAAAGTTTATCTTTTATGCTGTTATTATTGGAACTTCATCACTTTCTAATTGATGTAAAGATCATTTAACTACTTATACAGTATTAATTATTCCATTAGGTAGATCATATTGGTGAGAACGTGCAAGAAATGGTTGTTTTGATTGTGTATAAAGTCAGATTAGAACATAACCAACCAATAATTATGACAGTGACCAAATTCTGCTCCTGGTGGATCTGATTCTTAGGCTTCGTTTGGGGCAGCCGCTTTCTAGCATAAAAAGTTAATTTTTGTACTTTTAAGCAGTAAGAAAGCTGTCGCAAACTAAGCCTTAGTGTTTTCTATTTTTCTATGATGAGTTTAATTTGAGTTAATATAATTTGTATTTTGTAGGAGGATTTGGGAAGACCTGGTCAAGGAGGACCACCTCGCCCTGGTGGTGTTGCTGGCGCTGCACCTGTTCGCCCATGAGCCAAGACAAGAGTGTCCTGGTTTCAATAATTTATCTGGTTTTATTTTACAAAGTACCTTTCAACTTTTGTGGACATCTTTGCTAGCAACATTTTTGTATTCTCAACTGTTGAATTTATTAAGTATTCTGTAGTGTTTCGTTTCTGTGAAGTTCAGTATCTGTTATCTTCATTTCCAAATTGGCTTGTGTAGTTAAAAAACCTGTTTCCTTTGATAATCCCTTTGATATATTCAAATTATTATAGCATCATTTAGTGCTTATCGTTTGAAGCTCCTGGTGGATCTGATTCTTAGGCTTCGTTTGGGGCAGCCGCTTTCTAGCATAAAAAGTTAATTTTTGTACTTTTAAGCAGTAAGAAAGCTGTCGCAAACTAAGCCTAAGCCTTAGTGTTTTCTATTTTTCTATGATGAGTTTAATTTGAGTTAATATAATTTGTATTTTGTAGGAGGATTTGGGAAGACCTGGTCAAGGAGGACCACCTCGCCCTGGTGGTGTTGCTGGCGCTGCACCTGTTCGCCCATGAGCCAAGACAAGAGTGTCCTGGTTTCAATAATTTATCTGGTTTTATTTTACAAAGTTCCATTCAACTTTTGTGGACATCTTTGCTAGCAACATTTTTGTATTCTCAACTGTTGAATTTAAGTATTCTGTAGTGTTTCATTTCTGTGAAGTTCACTATCTGTTATCTTCATTTCCAAATTGCTTGTGTAGTTAAAAAACCTGTTTCCTTTGATAATCCCTTTGATATATTAAAATTATTACAGCATCATTTAGTGCTTATTGTTTGAAATTCATGCTTCGTTTTGGATGGCTTTTTTATTATTTCTTGAAGCAGTTTTTTAGCTTAAAAATTAAAATTTTTGTATTAAAAAATTGCTTCAAGAAGCACTAAAAGTCATCTCAAACTAAGGATTCGTTTAGGATGCCTTTTTTATCTTCTTGAAGAAGCTTTATAGTACAAAAATTTTAATTTTTATACTAAAAAGCTGCTTCATTAAGCAATAAAAAAGCCGTCCCAAACGAAGCCTAAGCTTCAGTTGATGCAGCTCGTTGGATGAATAGTTCAGGACCAATTTTTAAAGGCCAGGTTTAATCTTCTATAAATTTCTCAATTAAGATAGGGCCTGGCTTTTCTAGACCTTATATTAGTCGCATGGAAGCTGTGTGAGCTACTATGAATTCTTGGTTACTTTAAAATTGCCTGCATAGCATGAATTTATGTGATTGGACTTATCAATCTACGTGCATGTACTTTCTGTAAGGCAATTAGAAAAAGGAGATTCTGATTGGGGAAAAATTATTGTGTTGAAACGGATACAGAATGTCGTCCAGAGATTAATCTGAATGCATCACGTCAGCGGTACCGAGTAGTATGGAATCGCAGTATCGAGTGTAGGAATGATGTGGTGCATTTTGATTAGTCTAATCTCGATTGGGATGATTTTGTTGCTGCTTTGTGATACAAAAATTTATTCTAACAAAACTAAGCCATGACTTCTGCATTCTCTATTTTTAGGATAGTTTTTCTCCTTTCAAGCTAGCGTCTCTTTTTACCTTCTTTTTCGTGCTATATAACATAGAAATCTACCTAACAAAACGAAGCTTTAAATTGTGAGTATGATGAAATATTTGATTTGTCAACGATTCTCAAGCATTTCATCAGGCTAAGGCATGATATATTAAACTAGTTATATATTCAAGTAGAAATAATTGGATCAAGTAGGTTACTTGTCTTGCTTCTATTCGATTGAAGATCGAACCATGTGAACTTGGACATACCTTTGACATATGCTAGATCTATTCAATCTTTGGGAGGGCATTTCATATCTTAGATTGGATGTACATCTAGATGATCTTGACGAGGCTCATAGAAAATGAGGTTGAGTCGAGCTCGAGCTCAATAAGAGTTATACAAATTTGGCTCGATTAGATAAATACTGCGTTTGACTTGACTCATTTACACGTCTAAATTCTGATTACAAGTGATTATTTGGATTCTTGAGAGTATGAAAAATGATTGATTACTCTAAATTTTTTCAAATCAAAATTATCATTGCTAATTGTCTTTCTATGATGATCCTTAAATAATTATTTTCCTTCATGTTCAAGAGGATCTTGTTGGTGTCCTTAATTAGGTTCTTAACCAATTCTTAAAGTTCACTTGGAGCATTCATGATGTATCTTGCTTTTATTATGAATAATCTATTAACAATTAGCATTAATTAGACCTTTTTTTGATGTGAAACGTACCAAATACTCATAAGGGCAAAAACGAAAAAACATAAAATAAAAATAAACTACTACATAAAATAATGAAAATACAACTCATGCTCGTAACCATCGATCTCCGGCGTCGAAAATGCTGACGATGTCCTCATAATTTTTTTTGTCACTCTATTCTTGATGTTATAATGGAGATGAATGCCACCTCAAAGCTTGGCACTAAAGACTTTCCCTCTTATTACTTTATTTCAATTTGGTAGAGTTGGTGATATTGCATGCCTTTCTCATGTTTTAATTTAAGCTTTGTTTTCGGGCATTTCTTAATGCTTTTTAAAGTAATTTTGTAGTACAAAAAATTTTTTAATTCAAAAAATTTTAGTACTAAAAAGCTACTTTGAAAAATAGTAAAAAAAACCATCTCAAATAAGGCCTTATTTGATTAAAAGAAAGCACAAGACAGAAGCCGAATGATTTTATGTATGACTTTAGGTAGACTCAATAGCTATTGAAGGCATTTAAGTTTTTTTTGTGGAGGTTTCAATGAGGTAATTGATGACAATGGAGTAGTTACAAGCTTAGTAATTCTATCATAAGTTCCTTGCATTATTGTTGCTTTAGTTCCATGCATTGCCTTCATATGCTTGACTTTTTTTTTATTAAATATATGGTTTTTAAAAATTTTTAATCCTAGCTTATTTATATCTTACAGATAACATAAAAATTACATTCTTCTCATCAAAAAGTAAACCTTTATGACATTTCCAACTGAACTGCAAACGTCTGCGGGCTTCCACCCGAAAGCAAAAATAGAAACATATTTTAGCAACTGTGAATAATGCGACGTCAAAATTGGCACTGCTCATAAAAATCCTTTTTTCTTACGAAAATTAAGATGAGAAAGAATCTACCTGAAATATGTATATATATATATATATATGGAGTTCGGTTGGAAATAAATTACTATTTTATAAGACTATTACTTTATTTTGAAGTGGAAAATGAGGATTATTATTGGAGATACCGTTACACCTCATATCTTCTTTACTTTCTTCTAGTAACTTCTAGAGCATACTACATTAAAAGTTTAAACCTCATGATCGAGTATATGGCGCAATGGTTGAAGGAACTTTATTCCTCTCTACCTAAACTCGAATCCCATAACTTGCCCGAAAAAAAGAAGAAGAAGATTTAAACCTCCACTCACTTAACACATAAGAACAAGAAGAATCCCTTCACTTCACTCACAATCATTAGGCTTTGAAGCAATAATGAAATAAATCTTTTTACCAAAACCTTCTTTTATTGTGCCAATCAGGTGGGGCCACAATTCTTGACTTTGATGCAATCAATGACAAGGACTTCAACGGCCAAAATGAAGCCACGTCATTCATCTTTCATGCTCACCATTTCAATTGAATTTCTTTGATATTCTTCCTTAACAAAAATATACATACATTATGAACCATACACAAAATGTATGCACAGTACTTGTCCTTAAAAATGTCACCATAATTCCTTTTGCCTGCCCACTATTTGGTCACCTAAAACCTTCAGCTGCTATTGCACCATAATTTATGGCATGTTCAAATCATCCATCAAAATTCAATAAATACAAAATAAAATAAATAATAAATAATTCATGTTTAAATCATATAAAAAAAATATATAGCTACTTTTGTTAAGCTTTCTTTTATATATATTCAAAAAAAATTATATTATAATACTTAATTTTACTAAAATATATTGATAGAAATTATGATTTTATTGGGACAGTTTTATTACTTATTTCTAAATTAAGTAGAAATCTTGTAAAAAATTTCTTGAAAGCAGTCATAAGCTGTCTCAAACGAAGCCAATAAAATAAAGTAGAAGAAATAGAAAAAAAATGATAAGATTTTTTTAAAAATAAGATATAAATATTTACAAAAGAATTTATTTTTCATTATTTTAAATAAAAAATATCTATTACTATAAACTAATCATAAAATATTAAGAATTATATGTGACTTAGATGACTCATGTTTTTAATATTATTATCCTCCAATAAACAATGAGATTTGTACTTAACTCATAATTTAGCCTTCTATAAATAATAATAATAATAATAGTTATTTTATTTAATAAATAAGGATAATAAACTCTTATCTTATGCTAACATTTTTTTTCTTAAAATTATGAAAATGCTTATAAAGTTTCTCATAAAAATTTGATATCATCATAGATTTTATACCAAAGTCCATAACAAATTTCTTGTCTATTTTTATATAATTAATAAACTTGTTTTTTTATTTGTGAAATTTAAAAATTATTTGTAAATAGTTTTATTTAAATAATCCTATTATTTGTGAAGCAATTCATATTAAAAAAAAAATAGTGGCCATCACATGCAAATGATCCCCTCATTTGAAATGACAAATATTGATTGAATCATTTTTGATATGTGGGGGCAAAAAAATCAATCATGACTATGATGGTATGCATAAAATAATAATAATATATGAAAAATTTATTCAAAATTAGATTAAAAAAATTATTTTAAACATTCTTTAATTCATGTGGAAATAAGGTAATGAAAAAAAATGAAGATGTATCTAATTTTAAATATTATTTGAAATTTTTCTCAAATAGAAAGTATTTTGTCACTCATAATTTATATGATTTAGGTGGCCAATAATATGACCCAATTGTAATTATTGTTGCAATCAATGTAAACTATTCTAAGAGCTCAAAGTTCTAAAAATTTAGAATTTATATATTTACATTTTAAGATCACAATACAACTTTCAAGACCACATTTGGGAATTACAAATTAGCTCCTCCCAGTGGTTGAACCGGAATGAGCTCAGGGTGGGTAAAGAATAAACATTTTAATTATTTTGTCCACCTCCAACAAATATAATTGCACTAATTCTAAGAAAAAAATTTA